ATTTTTCTTGTCTATTGTTAGAAAATTTTAGAAATAAATGTGATATTTTTGCTGTTAGTAAAATTGTGAGATTTCTTTCTACAGTTTTTTTAATATTTAGATATTGTAAATTTCATGTGCAATGACTGCCTTATTATTTGAAAATTGATATTTTTGCAATTGATTATAGCATTATTGTGAAATGTTTAATTGCAAATTGACATCTCATAAATTGTGATAATTCCGTATTCTTGAAATTCTATAAGAATTTTTCTATACATATTAAACTGCCAATTATGCTAGAATGTCTTTACGAACTGCTACCTTTCTAAATTTGAGCCCAAAATATTTGATTGGTTATTTTTTAAATGTTATTGAAAGTGACTGTTATTAATAGTTTCAGTAAAATTCATATTAATGATTTCAGTGATATGTTGAGTACATGATATTTGATGCTTTCGAATGTTGAAAGAGATTTAGAAATAATTTAAGTATGCAAGTGGACTCATCCGTTTCGCCAGTGAGGTATAAGTGGACCTATCCGGGACGCCGGTAGGCATTAAGTGGACTCATCCGGTACGCCAGTGAGGTATAAGTGGACCTGCAGGGATTAAGTGGACCTATCTGGGACGCCGATAGGGATTAAGTGGACCCATCAGGACGTTGATGAGGTATATAGGTGACCTACTTGGGACGCCAGTAGGGTATTTTGTGAAATCTTTTGAATTATGCACTGTCGTTAAAGTGTTATATGCATTTCAATTATTCGAATTATACTTAATTATGCATTTATTGAAAATGAAACTGTTAATGCATTTCTGTTAATAGATCTCTTTTTTGAAAATATTGATACCTTTCAACCATGATTATGTTTAGGATTATGATGTCACTTACTGAGTAGCCAAACTCATCAAACTATGGTAAACATTTTTCAGGATAACTACGGTTTCATTTTGAGTGGTCGTCAGGATCAACTCTGGAAGATTTTGTAGTTGTGCCTAAACTTTCTTTTGTTACCTTGTAAGAATTCGCCACTGTATATTTGTCATATCAAGCAATGTATATATGTTTTGTCAGTCACATCTCAGGAATATCAGTATCATAAATTATTGGGGTGTGACAATTAGTTTTATGATTTCCTCCCATGTAAATATGATGCTGTCCTGGCCTCATGGGATTGAAAGAACGGAAACCATCGTTGGTGTTTTTGACATGGGCCGTAGCCCCCAAGTCAAGACACTAAGAAGCTCCCTTGGGGTCAACCAACATAGACTCAAAGACCACATGTGCCAATTCCTTGTTGGTCCCTCCAGATTTATTGAACGGACAACTATTGGCTATGTGGTCCACCTTCTTGCAAATAAAGCAAGTTCGAGTCTCTCCCCTTGCTCCCTTATTTTCAAAATCTCTTATTTTGAAATCTTTTTTCTTCCCAAAATTATTTCTTCCCTTTCCTTTCTTAAATTATATAGCATCCCTTAGAGTTTACCTTGAATTCATCATCTCTTTTTCTGATTTGATTGTCGTGATGAGCTTCTCCATTTTTGGTGCCTTTTTTATAGCAGAGATAGAAGATATAAAAGTCTCTGATGAATTCGAAAGAGAATTCATGAGATGAATCACTTACATAGATTTATTAGGCTTCATGCATGTGTTTTCCAGCTCTCTGACTAGCGTACGAAACATGTGCACATGATCTCCAAACTTTGTACCTTTTGTCATCTTTAACTCATTATACCTCATCATAGCCATAGTTTGCTTCATAATAGAGGGTTCAACATACTCTCTCTCACGTTTATCATAAATTTCACTTGCAGTATATATTGACTCATATTCAGAAGTATACGAGTCAATCATGGCAAATAAAAGAATGTGTTTGCATCTCAGGTTCTTCCTCTTCCAAATGGCGTATTCATCTTTGATTTCTTGAGATGAGTCGTCAGTTGGACGATGAGATCGGTCCTCAAAGAGTACCTCATGCAAGTTTCCTCATAGAGCACAAATTTGATCTTTCTTTTTCATAAAGCAAAATTGGTCCCATCAAACTTTCAGGATCTCTGAGATGAAGGTACGAGCAGTCATACCTTTTTATTCTCAAGCAAAGAAAAATAAGAAAAGACTCTTAATGGCTATCAAGTAAAATCAACTCTGATACCAATGAAAGTTAGACCTGTGTGATCTTTTGTCGGGAATACAATTTTTTTTTTTAATGATAATAATCACCCTTTTTATATTTTGTCAAAATGATCACTTACAGATGATCTTTTTTACAATCAATAAATATTTTAAAATAAAGCAAGATAACAATAAAAGTAAAACTCAACCACTTGATACCATTTTTACAACTTAACACTATGTTTGAGAACATAAAATAAAAGAGCAAGAAAGTAAAAGAGAAAATGCTGGAGATTACCTCAACCGAGCTTATTACACCCCACACGCAGGCACCACATTCAATGGCGTGGCATCAGCGGTTTAGCTTCAATCTCGAATCGAAAAAAATGAATTTCAACCAAACTAGGAAACTGCTTTTGAATATTTACAAAATATTAACTCCAAAATAATTAGGCTCAAACCCTAATTTTTCCAACCCTTAGATTATATTAGGTCATGAAAAGAGAGGGAGAGTCTATAGGGTTGGGGCTTGCCCGTAGGGTTTTTAAGAGAAGTTAGAGAGAGAAAGTCAGAGAGGAGAGAGAGGGGCATGACCCTAAGGAGGAGAGAGCGAGAGAGTTTATGGGAGAGAAAGAGGTGTGTGTAGATGGGGGGAGAGCACCCATATTTATAATGAAACTTAGGTTTAAAGTTTCACATAATTTGCCTCTTTCTTGAGATTGAATATGGATCAAGGTGACTTGTGGGGTGGGGGATCTGAGCCATCCATTCCATAGATAGGCCATCAACATTATGGAAGGTGTATGAACTTTTATCCCCATTTCTTTAAACCATTTTCCCATCAATATATTTAAATAAGTTAAATCTATTAAAATATCATGTATTCCATAAGAATATATCAAATAATATTAAGTTAATATATACCTTCAATAATCAAGATAAGATATGGTCAATATTTCCTAATCAATATTTGACCATATGCTACAAGATATAGTTACCATATTTAATTAACTTGAACACAAAGCAACAAGAGAAGGTATCCAAGGATGGGGCATGCTTCCCATGTATGGCATGTGGGCCCCACCTAATACCCACATGGTGGCCCATGTGCACTATGGGCCCTAGGTATTTTTTTATAAATATTTAAAATTAAACAAAATGAATTTTAAAACATTATAACTTTTGTAAATTAATAACTTCATTTTTATAAGTCCAAATATAATAAATAAAATATCAAATGACTTATAGAAGTCCCAATAATAAATCTAAAATAATTTAATAATAAAATGAACGTAATTAAATTAATATGATGGAAAGTGGATCCATATGGTTCAGGAATTCTATCCACGATCACGGGGTGATACTCCACCTTCAACTGTGGACTACAGACCACACTTGCTTTATCAAACCGACTCAGTATTTCCCATGACCCACAGTCCAAGCAGGGGCTCATTAGCAGGTCACCAAAGTCTGGCCAATGAGCCAGGGGGTCACAATTCCAGTATATAGATTACAGGTCCTCCCCTAAAGACGAGTCAAGGTTACCACGACCTGATGCGCCCACAGCTCTATGACGTATAGGGGTATCTCTCTCGCACATGCATACGCTTCACCCAAAGGTGGATAACTAGCTTTCTCGAACTATCTATCGATATGCATGCCATGTGATGGAACATTGATGAGCATTTGACCCCTTATTTCTATAGGCCTACGATCACACACAAGGGCCACACAGTCCCTCGGCTCACTCATCAAGGCATAAGCTTCGACCTCATCAAGGGCTAACCCAAAACCCTTATCGGTTTATTCTTTATGCCCAAGTACCTTGGGTTTTCCATCAGACTGTCCTAGATCACCAAGCACAGTCCGGTATCCGCAAACATTATTTGCTTAGTATGGTCCTCGAGGGACCACACTCCCACTGAGTTTATGTTCCACTATAATAAATGTTTTTCAT